GGGGCGCCCTGATGTGCGGCCGCCCGGGGGGGACCCGCCGGCTCCCTGGGCCGCGCTGCCGGGCGCCCCCCGGCTGGAAGAGGAGGAGTCCCCCGTCACAAAATGGCGAAGGGTGGCGGCAGGGCCGGCCCTATTGTGCCCTGGTGCTGGCCTCGGGGCGGGGACTGAGGCGGGGGCACCTCCCCGCGCCCCAGCTCGGACCCAGGCTGCGCCTCGGAGCCCCGCAACCCCTTTTCCACCCCGCCACGACCTCTTCGTTTGGTCCCCGCCGCCAGTTTGGGACCCGAAACCCTTGAACAAAATGGCGAAACCTAATATGGCCGTTCCCGGAGTCATTGACGCCCAAATAACACTTCTCTGTGTCTTGTCTTTTTTTGTTTTGTTTTTTTGTTTGTGTTTTCAGACCGAGTGTGTCAGCAGCCAGGACTTTCTCTGTGGGTCCCCTTCCAAAACGCAGCCACCGCCGTCACCAACCTCTACAAAGGTAAAGATAACCTTGCTGCAGTGCCGATTAAGGGGAAGGGCAGCTTGCGTCAGGGGTGATGTCCTGGGTTCTACGTGTGGGGGCCACCCTTAATGTGCATTAGCCTGCCCTGGAGAGTTCTGTGCTCTTAAATCTCACCACGAATCCTGACTGCCTCGCTACTGGAGAGTCCCGGTGATGTCCTGGGTAGATCAGGTGGTTCTCAGCTGGGGGCGATTTTGGACCCTCTCCCCCGGATATTTGGTAGTGTCTGGGGACGTTTTTTTGGTTGTCCCGACTGAGAGAGAGCTGCTGTTGACATCTAGTGGTAGAGGCCAGGGATGCGGCTAAATATCCTGCAGTGCACAGGATAGCTTCCTGCTCCAAACAAAGACACCAACCCGAAATGTCAGTAGTGCCCAGTAGTAGAAGCCTTGAGCTGGAAGACGTGTGGGATGTTGTGCTTCTAGTCGGAAGTCACCAAGGACAGGGAACAGTTTATGGTGTGGAGGTAGAGGGATACTTTGTAAGCACCTTATCGACAGATTCCTTGAGTTAGGCACCTTCAAGGGGGACAGTTTGGTAGCATTTAAGTGTTTCCAAAGCTAGCTAATTGGAGTAGTCTGTGGGCATGTTGACATGCTGCTCTTCTAGCAACTTCATTGCGTTTATCTCTTCAAAGCTACCTTGTATTTGATTGTAAATTGCTGGTAGGAAATCTGATCAGAGTTTGAGTTGATAGGTCATCTCTTCCTAACAATGAGTGAAGATTTTGTGCCTTAGGATTTTGTAGATCAGAAATTTGGATTTTTTTTTTTCTGGGCAAGGTTTCTGTGGAAAAAGGATTTGAATTTGACCGTTAATCTTAATAAAAATGTGATTAAGTCAGATGCTTTCAAACCTAAAAGCTGCTGATGACAGTGCAATTTTGTGTATTTCAGAAACATCAAATAAGGTGAGACATGGGTTATGGAGAGTCTGCTTGATTCTCAGACTCGTGTTTTTGCGTAAGAAGCTGCAAATGAGGGCAGTATTCTGTAGGAAAAATATCCCTTATCATGAGATTGTTGAGTAGGCTTTGCAGGTTTTGGGGACCATAATTTGAGAACCATAAACTGAAACTGCTGAACCCAAGTGTTAATTTTAGAGAATGAGGAACTAATAATCCGGCCTTACTGAGAAAAAGGAAACAATTGAATGGCGCCTCAGTGGTCAACTCTGATTTTATGTAGCTGCATTTCTTAAATTTTGACCACTGAGTACGTTCCTTTAACATCCCTCAGTGCTTGAGGGTCTTGAGCATTCTCTTTGGAATTACTTTTGGTTTTGACCAGAAAGGGGGTTTTGAAATAATAGTCAAATTCAGTTTTTTTAAAACTCGGGTTTCTTGTATAATTTTATGTACAGTAAAAACCACCCTTGTAAGATGTATAGTTGGATTTTGACAAATATATATTACTAAGGTAATAGACTATAATCACTTTAAAACATTTTCTCCTGTTCCTTTGTAGCTAATTCCCACCCCCCTTTACCCCAGGCCCTAGCAATTAATGATGTGATTTCTCTATATACAGTTTTCTTTTCTTTTTTTATAATGACATATGAATAGAATTATATGGTATGTAGTAGCCCTTCGTGTCTGGCTTTTTCCACTTATGATGCTTTTGAGATCGATCTGTTGAATTCCAGTTTCTGGGATGAGTAGTGCAGTACCTTTTCATTGTTGAGTAGTAGTTCATTGTATGGAGGTATCCTAGTTTGTCACTTGTTGGAATTACTTTTTGTTTAAAGGTGAAGGCAGCATGTATTTTTAGTGCCTTCCAAGTGGCTGCCTCTTCGCCTAGGCCATATACAAATATGAAGGTGCTTATACTGAAAACAGAACTTCTGGTGCTGTTCTGTTTATTCCCTTAGGAATAAAGCTGTCACTTTTCCGTGCTCACTCTTCCGTATAAGAAGATGGGCTCAGAAGTCAAATTCTGAAATAATTCCTAGTTTGATACTTAATTTGAAAGTGTTCTCATATCTTACTGGTTTTCGTCTTTGAAATTCCAAAAAGTTAAAGACATTGAAATTAAAAAAATATATACACGTTCTGGGATTATTGCAAATGCTGGATTGTTAGTCTAAACCAGTTGTATTCTGTATTCTTGTGAAATGAAACTTACCCTTTTTATCTGATACCACTGTTCAGAAGAGTGGATAATGCTCTAAAGATCCTCAGGTTTCCTTTTTCAGGGTGTGGTCCTCCAGCTATAGGAATAATTGGTTACTTTCAATAGAAACAAATTTAGCCAAGGTGCTAGGTGCATGCAGCATTCAGTAGAGGTCCGTTGTAAACTTAAGTCAGATTGATCACAGTTCTGTTTAAATATTTAATTTATGGAGTTGAGGAAGTTATGGAGATTCTTTAAAGTGGCTAGTATTCCTCAGTTTTGTATAATTAAGCACTTACCTGGAAGCAAAAAATGGCTCGTTTTGCTGCTTGTGGAATGTTTGGGCTCTTGACCAGCTCTTCCCCAAACTAGAAACCTAGCAGAGGGCCCCTTTTGATTGTCTTTGGCTTTTGGTTGAACATACCAGCTTAGTTGGTTTGTTTGGAATGTGGCTGGAAGGATTTGGAATCACCGAATTCTTAGTTATCTAGTGTTGCTCTAACAGAAATACCACAAGTGGGGGGGCTTTAACAAATAAATTAGTTTTCTCACAGTTTAGGACGCTGGAACTCTGAATTCAGGGTACTGGCTCTAGGGGAAGGCTTTCTTTCCCCGGAGGAAAGCCCTCGTCTCTTCTGAGCTGTCTTCATGTAGCTTGACGTCTCTCTTCCCCCTTCTCTCTTCTTTCCCTTGCTTGTTTAGTATCTTTTCTATTTGAAAGCAGATTGACTGAAAACACCGCACATTAATCTTGTTTTATTAACATAACAAAGACACCCCATTCCCATACGTATTTTAACCACAGGCATAGAGATTAGGATTTACTACACATATTTTTGGGGACACAGTTCAATCCATAGCCCCCCCAAATTCCTGTCCTTGCCCCATGCAAAGCACATCCACCCCATCACGTCATCCCAAAAGCCTTAAATTGATTCCAAGTTCAAAATCTCATCTTCTGAATCATCTAACTCTAGGGGTGAGACTTCAGGGGTATTTCGTTCTGGGGCAAAATTCCTTTTCATCTGTGAACCTGTGAAACCTAGGCTTCAAGTTATCTGTTCCCAAAGTACTATGGTGGAACAGGCACAAGGTAGACATTTCTGTTACAAAATGGGAGAAACTGGAGGGAAAGAAGGGATGGGGTCACCAAGCAAGTCCACTACCCTGCAGAACAATTTACATTAGCTCTAAAGGCTTGAAAATAGTCTTCTGGTCTCTGAGACCATCTGGGCAATGGCCCCACCCTCTGGATTCTAGGTGAAGGCACCTTGGTCCTGGGCTTCAGCTTGGCCTTCCAGGCCCTTGGAGGTGGCAGCTCTGCTCCCTCGGCTTTGGATGGCGCTATTCTCTTAGCTCTTCTTGAGTGGTGACCCTGCCCCGCCCCCCTGCAGGCCCTGTTTGTCTGTCCCTTGGGCATGGCAGTGCTGCCTCAGTGAGGAGAGAATTCAGTAAGATGGAGTGCACAGTTCCTTCTTCAGATGGTAGGGTCAGACTTTGACATTCTTTTTTTGGAAAGGGGAAGAGAAGTCCTGATTGCTGGTCCTTGTTTCTGCTTTGATTTGATAAATCTGAAGAGGGTGGTATTTGTTCGGTATTCAGTGGTGGTGAGTCCCTGGCTTAGTACATTTTTGTACTGCACTTAAAGGAGTGAAAAGTTACCGAGTTTGCTTTAATCTAGCTGAAGTTTATGCTTATTTGGGAAATAGTTGACCAAGTCTATTAATGTTTGCTTCTTAACCAATTTCAATCTCTTTCCTAACTCCTCTTTAGGAAAGTATTCTCTTTATCTCATGCTAAATTTCTTTACTGCTTGGGGTTAGTTGCTCAGTAGAGAGGTGAAGAACTGGCTGTTGCCCTCTAGGGCAAGGCTCCCCCATGAGGCAGCCTCACCGGGTCAGCTCAAGGTACCTGCTGCTGCCCCAGCTTTTCAGCAGCCCCTGGGTGCCAGTGCTTGGTGTAGTCACTTTGCAGCACTTTTGTAATAGTTCTTTTGCAGCTTGTTTCTTTTTTTTTTTGATTCTTGTTTATGATAAGCTGTGTTTCTTTGCCTCCACGTGTTAAAACTTTGTTTGAGGCTTTAGTTGCGGTCTGAGTTCGGTCACATGTTGAGAGTGTCTCTTGATATTGTTTATATTAAGGATGTTTCTGGTTGTCTCCTTCAGCAGCCTTTGCCCTAAGGCGTCTGTACTCTGGCAGTGCTTGCAGAGAGAGGGCTAGTTTATAATGATGGTCCACAGTCCTGGCGTCTGCTGCCAGACTGTCTTGAGTGTGCACGTAGTGGCTGTCACTGCTAGCTGTAGGTCCTGAGCAAGATATTTAACCACTGTGCTCTTGGGCTTTCTCAAATGTGAATGGGGATGAGTACCCATAAATTACAGTGCAAGCTCTTAGTATACTACCTGGCATGTGGTGAGTGCTGGCTTAAGTATTGATTGTGTTGGTGGTCAGGCGCTAACTTTTTCACGTTTCTGGCTATGGGCCAGAAGATGGGCTAAAATGAAAGGAAGTAACTCTGGATTATTTTTTGCTTCAGTTTTCTTTTTTTTTTTTTGGTATTGGAATAAGCTCTGTGGTGTGTGTACTTCTTCCTCATCCTCTTTCCCTAAAAAGGGTAGATAAAGTTGACAGTTGAGAAAATTATGGTGCCCTTTAAATCCTTATTTTTGAGACACTTTGATGCCAGATTTCCTCTATACTAATATGTTGTCTCATTTAACTATGGGCATTTTGGATCTGTATGTAAACTGAAGTCACCTGAACATTCTGAAAATTTGTGGGCCATGTGACAGGTGACTGATTTATAAATAAATGGCCAGAGAAAGTATATTCTACCTGGGGACTAGATAGAGAATATTGGAATTT